CATGCCAGTGCCCTTACACAGAAAAACAAACAAACAAACAAAAAAACCCACTCAATCACTTTACTCTTCTGGCACAGCAAGATTTTTCTAAGTAGATAAAGCAGATCTATGCAAGAGACAGTGTTTTTAAGGGCAAAATTCAGAGATAAAGTTCTCTAGGGAGTGCTGCCTGCCGCAGAGCACGCCTGAGTCTGCTCGACTTGCCCATCAAGGCCTATTCCTTTTACATTTCATGTTCAGCACAGGAAAAGGTGTGGAGGTGTTAGTGCATTACAGCTTGGTGTGCTATTGGAAAGAGCTCAAGTGCTTCAGAGATGAGATGATTACATGTATGAATTTACATAAATGAGAACAGAGAAGAATTACTTTAGGATTTGGAGGCTTACCAAGAGCTGAGGTGAGGCAGACAACCCATTATACTACTCTGCATTATTGCTTCCCTTTGAATTTGCAGAATGTATTTTATGGCTTATTATGTATAGCTCAGGTTTGATCAAGCTGTTGATGACTTTCACTGATTCAGCAGTTTCAATCCAATGTAACTTTTCTTATAGGAGAATAATATTTTGCACTTTAAAAATCAACCTTTTTTTTTTACTTCTTTCTGATGTTTTTTTCCCCCTAATTTGCATGGACCCCCTAATTCTCTTCTGGGGACCAAGAACTTCCAGCACATATGAGTAAACTGTTAATATGAAACAAAGCTATAGCCAGAAATCAGAAGTGATGACTACAGCTAAGTAAAATGTTCCTGTGTAGTAGAGAAGCAAGATTTTCCATTCTGCACTGAAAAATCCAAAGACTTCAGTTACCTCATCAAAGACAGCAAATCATCACGTACTCTCCCTCTGTCTACCCTTGCCCTAGCCAAGTGTTCAAGGCTCCAGCTGACAACCTCTGCTGAATCTCACAAGGCAGCAGAAGGGGTTACTCAAGCATGTGGAAAGGAGCAAGCCTCTGACAGATCCCCTATTACTGTAGCTTGTTTTCCAACAGTATTAATGGCAGCTGAAGAGGCTTGATGAAGAGTTCATGGTGATAGCCTCTAGCACAGAACCAGAGCAGATTAAATCCTGTTAGCTTTAGGAACACTGATCTTCAGGAGCCTTCACTTTCTACATTATTCCTCCTTTTTCCATATTTGCCTGCTCTTATTTCTGGTTTATTGGTGTATCTTTCCTAACATCTTTAGGCTGCAGTGTGCATGATAATTCACTAGTTCAAAGACAGCATTTTTACAATTTCAGAGGTTCAAGCATTCCCCTAGTTGAAGGCTATGTGAAGTATATGTTTTGCACCTTCTAATCTCATAATCTGTATTTAATAGCAAGAAACTAATTATAGGATTGCATGAAAATTTTTTCCTGACCGTCAAGATTTGCTTGTATAAACAGAATGTTTGTGTACTCGAAGGCACCATCAGCTACAGATACGGTTCTTCCTTCAAAAATCTTACTGATAGGTTTTGCTATTAGGCTCTTTCCATTTTTTCACCTCTGAATAGCCTGATCAATAGGCTGAGTGTTTCAATTTGCATGCATCTTTACTCTTGAATGTTTGTATGACTTGCAATTAAAGAGGAAGGTACTGAGGCTCTCTTCTAAAAAGTAGGGGTTTTTAGTCATGTCTTGTTTGTCTATAACATAGACCAGGTTAACAGCCTCAATGAAATAATGTTCTGCTGAAGATAGCAAAGCTTGCTTCCCTGCATTGTTGGGATCTGGGTTCAAGCAAGAACTTATTATTTCTGAAATATGGAATGCATTTGCTCTTGGAACACATGTCCTTTTTATGCCCTCTGGTTCATGAGCTGGTTGCAAAACTACAAATTTGCTATAAAATTCCTTTTAAGGTGCAGTGCTGCTAGAAATTTGTAGAATAATAGAAGCCCTTTCATCCTTTGTATTTACACATGCAATTTGCTTTAACAGGATCTGATCAACCATTAAAACCCACTCTGTGTTTTATGTGTTTAACAAAAAACATACTTGCACAAGTAAAATAGACTGCATGAAAGGCTCCAATACACCTATTTATGTTTCACATATAACAAGGTCCTGCAGAACCCCTTTTGTCCTGAGGAGTTTAACACCCCCAGTGGAAGGCTGAGACCCCCTGGAAGGAGGGCTGCGGCTCAGCACCTTGCCAGCACAACACCTTTGCTCCTTAGGGCTTTGGGCTGGCAGTCCCAGAGCATGGGCTCAGTTTCTATGAGAGGAGAGCTCCAACACAGTGCTGAAGTCAAAGCATACCTGTGATTAAGTCCAGCAAAAAAAAAAAAAATAATCTAAGAAAAATAATCTAAAAAAAATATCTAAGAAAGCAGGCATTTCTCTTTTGACAGAGCATGGCTGGCCAAGTGGTCAGTTCAATGGGCTCCATCTTAGCTGAAATGCTGGGGTGCTGCTGGAGTATGAACCACAAGGAAAGTTTCAAAGTCCAGAGAGTTTTAACGTCTGGGAGAGGATGCTAGTTCCTTTGTAGTGTTTACGTGGAGTGTCTAATGCTGAATGTCTCTAATGTCACTAGCATGACACTCAAAGGAGTATTTCTGAGTTTTCAAGTTTCATCTGAAAGATATGCAAGGGTCTCCTGCGATAGGACAAGGGGAAATGATTTCAAACTAAAAGAGGGGAGATTAAGATTGGATATGAGAAAGAAGTTTTTTACAATAAGGGCGGTGAGGCACTGGGACAGGTTGCCCAGAGTGGTGGATGCCCCAGCCTTGGAGACACCAAAGTTCAGGCTGGATGGACTCTAAGCACCTTGATCTAGAGTAGTGATGTAGTGATCCCTGTTCATTGCAGGGGAGTTGGACTGGATGGCCTTTAAGAGTCCCTTCTGACATGATTCTATGATTCTATGAAAACCGAGTATTAACCAACTCTTTCATCTTTATAAGTGATTGATTAGCTATAGAGTTACAAGTTTTGCCTTTTTTTTTTTTTTTTTTTTTTTTGGTGGAAAGGATTTTTTCACATAGTTTCATTTGTTTATACAGACATGCAAAGCTTTGTTTTCTTGCACACATCAAGCAACAAAGAATATTTATTTGCTGTTCAAAGGCCTTTTCACAAGCAGTGCTTAGCTCAAAAGCCTATTCTCTTAGCTTTCCTCAGCATGATTTTTTTTACCAGTGTATCCTCTAACTCTGTGTTTGCTTGTTTGCTTGTTTGTTTGTTTGTTTGTTCATTTTTCTGTCCTTAATTCTCAATTGCTCTCTCTTGCTTTTGGGGGGATTTTTTTTATCTTTTCAAAAACACATAAAACTAATAACTGGAAAATCGCAACTGACTGCGTCCATATGTCTGTACTGGAGGTAATATGGTTGCAACTGTCAGATCTTGTAAAGTTATTTATAGATTACCAGGAAGACACCATAAACGTAAACACTAGTGGAAAATCAAGAAATTAACTGTGTGAAAAACAGAGACATTTCAAAGGTATTTTCAGATTTTGAACTAAAAATTGATAATTTGTTTGATATCTTGGCCTCTGTATTTCTGTAGGAATTCTGTTTTCCTTGCTGTCATTAGCAGCAACATAGTGGAAGCTGTTAACTAAAGATTTCATATTGTCTTTCAAGGAAAAGCAGAGTTTAATAATTTTTCCTTTTTGAAATTGTTTCTGATCATGAAGTCCCAATAATTTCCCATCAGATCAATGGATACAGCCAGGACTAATCCCAACTGAGTCAATGTGATTTATAAGATAATAACAAATGAATATCCTCCTGCTTTTCACACATTTAAAGCTAAGGATTACCTCTGTGTAACTAGTTTTAAAAGAATATTTTACCATGCAGAGTTGTCATGGTAGCACATACCATATTTGCCTCCTTGGTCTTTATTCAAAGCCCAAATCTTTTGACTGACCAAATGATCCTAAGACCTCTGAAATATTCTGTCATCTTTCTAATTGGATACACTGATGTCTGCTGGAAAACAGATGTGATCAACTGCAATCATCTGTGAAGCTGAAACAAAATGCAGCATGTTTTCTCAGGAAAACTTTATCAGTAACTTCACCTCCTCACAAAACATAGACATAATCCATAAATAAAAGAGCTGCCATTTGATGAGAAGGAGGAAATTCTATCTTAGTCAATGACAGAGAAAGTGAAATGTGGTCACCCAGAGTTCCTGCAATCAAAGCCCACTCATGCTTACTTTAATTATTCTGATGTGCATTCCCATTCAACTTTAATAGTACTGCTTGTACCAGTAAAGGTTCTCAATTGCAAGGGTCACATTTGCTTTGTTTTCTTCATCTCTGGTTTAGACTTAGAAAGACTGCACAAAGGACAGGGATCCTTTGAGAGAGCTCTCTGTTTGCTCAGTCCTGCCTTGCCCAAGAGAGATCAGCACAGATCCAGTGGTTGATTTTGGGAATGCCCTGCTAGCAATAGAGTGGGAGGGAGGAGGCTGCTCTTAAGAAGCCGTGGGACTCAAAACCAAAGCAAAAGGTGTTGTTGGATGGCAAAGGCTGGATGGCAAAAATCGCTGACTACTCAGAGTAACAGAGGAAACCACTAAAATCAAATAGGTCAGTCAAGGAGGTGACTGCAGCAGTTGTTACATTTTTGTACATTTTATTATTTGTAATTTTAGCTTTAATTTCACCAATCCCAGTGAGTATTGGAAAGTAAAAATTTTATTTAGCAAGGTTGGGTGGAATTGGGAACGCATCTACAAAGTACAGTTATGGCTAACTAACTTGATTGTTTGTGGGGACTGCAGAACTGGGGAGGAGGGAGGAGTACTGCAAACGCTAATTATTTTGATCAGTGGAGAATCTGATGCGTCCAAGAATTTTAAAGAGTTTTGTCTTGTTCAAAGCTCCAGATGGGTTTAGTCTGAGGTTCTGGCCATCCATGATGGAGTCCATGATACTTGGGCCTCACCTCTGCTTTGTATGTAAATGGTGAAGTTATTTACATAAAAGCTTTCTTCATTTCTTGGAAAATGTGTTTCAATCAGCCAGTCTTTATGTTTGTACAGGGTCAGGTCTGTCTTGGACAACTCACCCCACAGAAGCAAGAGGGAGGCTGTTCCAGTAACTCCTGTGGGAGGCCTAGCTGGGATGCCATCATCAGGCACAACCCCTGTTCCCAGGCAGGATTTCAGCCCATTTCAAGGACTAACTCAGCTCCAGCTTCTAGAGCTTTGATCTGCTTGAAAACTCAGACATCAGTAAGGCGGTTAAGGTAGGTAACATCTTTAGGTACTATTTACCTGTTAAGTCTTTCTTTCATGTGAAAATCAAGCTCCTTTTGTCAGCATATAGCTTTAGGAGCTGTGAGATCTGCAATCGCCAGAGATCTGCATTGCTTGTGCTTTTATCTTGGTACAGTTTAGGACAGGGGTCTCATAGATATCTAAAAAACAACTTTTCAGTATAAATTTATAATTAACTTTATTCACAATAATAATGTCAATAACCAAGCTGAAATCAAAGGATGGAGAGGGATTTTATTTTAGGCAGTGATTCTTGTGCATTTCTAAGCACATTCAGAATAAATAAGAAATTATAAGAATAAATCAGTGAAATGGTATTCTACCTTTTCAGAGGACACATGCTCTCTCCGTTTCCACGAAAACTGTTCTGCAGCCAGCTGCTTCTGCAGCTGACATTTGCTTACTGAGCCAAATCCATATCTGAGGGCAGACCAGAGGGAATGTGTCTATTCTGGTTCCTGAGAAATGAAGCAGACAAGGGCTATTTCTAGTGGCCTTTCAGGTCCAGTGTGGGTGGCTGAGAACTTTCAATCAAAGTCCTCCCTTTCAAAATTGAGCCCAGTGGTAGGAATTTTGAATAAAGCTCAAAACATGAGATCCGGAAAAGGAGGAGACTGAAGCGGTTTGATGGCATGACACAAACAATATCTTCCTTTCCTGAAATAAGAATGTTTTCTTCATGAAACAGAAAAAGCAATGAATAAGAAAAAACGTAAGAATTTAAATGTTAGAAGGCACTAAAACCTGGGAAAAGTGTGCTGGGTTCCTTTCTGCAGAACATTTTATTAGGCTTCTGATAAAATAGGAAATATAGAAAAAGCTGTCACCTTGGGCCAACAAACAAAAAAATGCTTGCAGATGAGTGGAAGGCTCAAAAAAGAGATTTTTTTTCTTTGCGAAGCATACAATAAAATTCAGCCAGCGTATGTGACTGTGAATAAGGGGGAGGAGGGAAAATAGCAAGGCAAGGAAGGTCGAAGGTTTCTAAACCTGGATACTTAGTTCTGGGTATTTCTTAACACAAATTATATTGAGAGTGGCTTATAAATCTCAGAACTTCTTTCCAAACTATTTAAAGTTAAGTTTGTCTTCTTATGATGATTTAGTACAACATTCTTTATTCAGTGAAGGGAAGCATGTATACACTATTTCTGCTTTGAATGGCCTTGGTTTTGAATCCTTGCTTACCCTAAATAAGGTCTGAGGTGGTTTCTTCTGAATGTTTGAAGATGAAGAAGTAGAGGGTACGTTGTTTCTAAAATGCAGTCTAGTGATTAACGTTGATAAATGTTTGTGTTCTATTTTTAAAGCATTTTGAAAACAGACACAGTCTGCAAGGAAAGAGGGGAGAACTAGTAGGTATTTCTTCAAAGACCAGCCATACATAAATTGCTACACAATGGCAATTGCATGCAGGGGTAGCGCCTGGACTTATAGTGAACCATAGCATTTCATAAACTTGTAGAGCTAAGCATGAAGTGCTACTATTGGGATTCTGCATGACCGAGTATTTGCTCACTTAAACCCCAGGGTAGAGGAGAAATTTTCATGGAGCTTATAGTGATTTATAATGGGAAGCATAGGCTTTTTCATAGACATTGTTCTCACTGACAGTGTAAAGAAAGAGAGCACTAAATCTCTTCTCATCATAACTAATGATTAAGTCAGCAGCTTTTTTGGCGAATACAGAATGCCCTTCTACAAAAACAAAGTATTCTATTGTGATGTATTACATTTAAAAAACCCATAAGTATCCCATAAGGCTATTGCAATATTTTTAACTAGATCTTCCCTCTTTGTCACCATATTGAAATAAATGGAATGTGTCAGACTGAGTAATGCTCTTTCAATAAGTTTTTAGGAGCTCACTTAGAAGTTTGGCAAAATATAAAGAAACGAGGAAAACTTTCTCAGGATCCTCTATGGCCTGAATGAAAGATTGGTCCATTAAGGAGAAAAGCTTATGCTGATGCTGACACTAATAAATGGGATGGGGAAGGATATTTCTGCTTAGTTTGGGCTACCTTGCTCCAATTTGGCTGCATCGAGTTGCCCTCTGAAATAAATCAGCCAGTTGATGATGATGCATTGCATTAGAAAGTTCCCATCAATATAATAGGAAAATCAGTTTTGTTTGAGTTCAAATGCGAACTCACCCTCAACTATTAGGACTCAAAGGGACAGCAGTCACTGAAAAATTAACTTCCCTGCATCTGCTGTTCAGACCTGCATTTGAACTACAGCATTCTTCCTTTGGAGGGTATTTCCGTTATTCACTCTAGATACTGAACTTGCTTTAACTTCATATGTTAAGTGGAAGAAAATGCCATGGATTTATTAGGCTGCTCCTTCCCCAGTGCTTTCATTTCAGATGCTATTTCAACCCTACTGAAATCAGTGATAAAACTACTACATTCATTGCCAGAGCCGGGCTTTTTCTCTCTATTTCTGCTCCTGAGGGAAATTTTGAGTAGGTGGACCTTCAGAGTTAGATCCATCCTGGATTTTAGCCCTAGTCTCCTTCACAGATATGTTCCTTAAAATATTTTATAAATTAAAACACTTAAGGAATGCCTCCTCGATGCTCCTAAACGGGAAAATTTGAAGTAGAAATATTGGGCAATGGGAAGGAATTGTATTTAGCTGTGGTGCTATCTCTCAGTAATCGTTAGCCTTTAGGGCTCCAGTGATCTCCATGTTGCAAGTGCTACATTTCCATACCTACCATCTTTCATTCTTCAGGAAAAAAAAAATCTAGATTACTCAGAATATGTCTTCAAGGGGTGCTTCTCCTGTCACACTGACTCTACAGTGCGTTCTTATACTAAGTAGGTTAAGCATTTCAGAAATGTTTAGAAATCTTGCCCAGTAAGTACTTTTTTACATCGCTGTAATACAGCCTTTCCTGAATGTTACGTCTGGAATCCTAGCCACAGTGCACAAAAATTACAGTTGGGTAAAGCGAGCCCTCTCAGACTAATGAATTCAGCTTTCCTTTTTTTCCCCCTTTGCCTCACAAAGGTCCTAGTCAAGAGTGGGATAGAAGGAAATCCCACTAGAGCCTAATAATGCTGCTTCTTTCCAGAGGGAGTCACTAGAAAGTAATTTATTTCTTCAGCATGCAACTAGAGGTACTCATTTATCAAAGGCTTCTGCATGCTGCTTCTATGGCCTTCGTTATCCCAGGGACAAGGAACTGAGGTTGTGACCCAAAAAGTCTATTCCTACTGGATAACCCTGGTTGTTCCTTTTTTTTACTCAAACATCAAATGCAGGCCTACTGGACATATAAGGCCATGTTCATAGCTGGAGTTTGTGCAGTATTTATAAGGTATGAAAAGCTACAGTTCTTCTGTCTTTCCCTATCAGCATCAGTAAGGCACTACAGGCGAGAGTAACGCTATCAGCTGCATTCCTTTGCCTCCTGAGCCATGGGCAGCTCTGATTTTCAGACATGCTTTACTTTTTTTTTCCCCTGCCCTGCTTTTCTCTACTGTTGTGTCTTTCCCATCAAGGGAACTCGCCCTCAAGTTCAGATTGCACACACTTAGGAGATGCAGCGGAGAATTGGACCTTTGTGAGCGTGTGAAGGATGCTTTCCTTGACCTGTCAGAGAACATATTTTACTTGATGAGAAAGAATGCTAGGCCAAATTCCTCTCTACTGTAAGCAGACTATTAGAGGAGGACTTAGCTAGGGATGAGCTTGGCCTACTTTGTGCAGTGGATGGTCTCCTAAGCAGACAACGCTTATTGTTTACAGTGCAGTGGCTGCTTTTCTGCTCCTTTAAGTGATGGTGGGTTTTTGTACCAAACAATGCAAATAGGAAGTCATTTGTTTGGGAGGACCTAATCCTGAAGCCCTTATTTGGTGTTTACTGAAGTTAAGCTCAGCCTTTACTCAGATGAACTCCGCTTGGACTCACAAGGAGTTTGCCCCAGTGAGGACAAGAGGAGGACTGTGAGAGTGCGCTGCCTGGTTTTGGCCAAAAGACAAAGATACTTTACGTTACAAACACATACTGAAGAAAACAGGCACACACAATTACTGACTATATGCATGTGGCACTGTACGTGTGCACACGGACACAATTGCACACTAATCTAATCAATACATTCATTTCTTATTAGGACATAATTACACATCCCAGGAGGCTGGAACAGAAAAGTCCCATTAACCCCTCATGCCCTTTTCAGCTTTCCTCTGCCTTTCCATCTAACAGACCTCTGTGTCGCTCCACTCATTAGCAGTTACTGTCTATGACATTGTTACATAAATAAGGATGTCGACCTGTCAGAATGGGTCACTCAATTCAAGGGTGATGATAAATATCTGTCCCTCTGAATTAGGCCAAAGATACCAGAGTACAGGACAGCTACTGTTGATTATTGGATAGTTAATGTATAGAGGACAAAAGGTGCTGAGGCCTGGTCACTCTTTGGATCATTAATATGGATTTAGGCCTATTATTAAAAAAAACACACGCAGGCATAAAACTAGGTTAGCAAGAACACGCATAACTTTCAGTTTGGGACTGAATGTATAGATGGTGGGTAGATCTGTGGTGCTAAAGGTGTGGCGTAAAAACGTAAAATTAAGGGTGCTTTTAGATAAGCACAGTATTTTGGGATCACACTGCAAATGGTTTGTGCTTCTTCACGCTTACAAATGAAACGTAAGTAAAAGGCGTGGTGGATGCCTTTAAGTAAGCTGAGATGATTCCAGGAAGCAGGATATACAGTAGAGCAGTGCTGGGCTCTGAAGCAGCTACAGAGCTGCTGCTGAGGCGTCACATGGTTTGCTTTGAAAACCATCAGTTATTGCCAAGACTTTTCTGAAACTGCTTTATTTTCAAAACACTTTTTTTCTACTTAAATCTTGAAGGGACCGGAGAGTGTCTATAACCTCAGTTTGTTCATTCAGTGATTACCATCTTCTTCACTTGGTGACAGATTTTTCTTTCAGGAAG